CTAGCATCATCAGAATACTCAAACAGTAACAGACCTCTAGCCTGATTTTAACTCTGAACAACTTCGAATTCAATAATGAGCATAACATTCAGGTTAATGGTACTGTAATGGGTACCAAAAGGCTCACAATTATGCCAACATTTTTATGGGTCATATTTTAAAACCAGCTTTTACAACTAAGCCCTGTAAAACCTAATACATGAAACGTTACATAGATGACATATTTTTCATTTAGACAGCCAGACTTAAATCACTTAAAGAATTTATCTCACATGAAAACTCCTTTCACAAAACAATCAAGTTTACCTGTGATTACTCGCCTACCCAGATTAACTTTCTTGATGCCACCATTTTACTAAAACACAGAATTTTAAACACTCACTTGTACAAAAAAACCTACAGACAGACCACAATACCTTCACTATAAAAGCTGTCACCCCTCTCACACTAAACGAAATATTACCTACAGTTAAGCTCTTAGAATAAAGAAAATATGCTCAGATGAAAAACTACAGAAAACACACCAAGGATCTAAAACAAACCATGTTAAAAGAGGATACAAAGATATCAAAATGGACAGACAAATTGAAAAGGCTAACAACACTCAGTGGAAAAACATCCTAAATCAGAGCAATACTAAACTTTCAAATAGAATTCCTCTAATTATTACCTATCAGTTTAAACTCAGAAACGTTTCACGAATTCTGAAAAAACATTTTCATTTTCTACAGCTCAATGATCGTCTTAAACAGATATTTCCTGAAGTAGCCATTGTCTCCTTCCAAAAAAGCAGAACTCTAAAAGATATTCTTGTTCACACAAAAGTGAATTGCATCCTACCCAAAAATGGTTGTTGTCCATGCAATAAAGCCTGTTGTCAAACTGCAAGTTCATAAAAACCACCGACTCATTTTCTGACAAGCACAATCATAGAAACTTTAAAATATCCAAAGAACCACTTGTGAAACAAAAAACACCATTTGCCTTATACAGTGCAAAAAAAAAAAATGAAAGTGTTGAGCAACAGGGAGATCTTTTTTGGTGTTAATAGAAGATTTATGGTTGTTGAAACGTTCTCTAAGAGTTGTTTGTTTATGTCCTACATGATTGAACCAATCCAGTCATTCCAATAATGATGTTACACTCATCACATTGAAACAGAATTCAAAACTAAAGTGAATAAAAAGATAAAAGATGCTTATTGGATGACTAATCTAAACACTGTTCATCTTTTTGAAATCAATCTAGATCCCAGAATCAGTAATCTCTGATCATTGGTTTCATCTCTCTCTAAAAAAAAAAAGTTTTTATTCTTTGCTTATTTCTTTCATATATTTTTCTGAAAGTTATTATTTATTTAAGAAACTTTTCCACACCTGTTTGTATAAATTAGTTAGCTTAACATCTCTTTTTCAATTAGTTTCCAGGTCATGTTTATTTTACTTAAACACTTAGTTTTCTTTCCTACTTTTTTCAACCATTTCTAAAACAAAATATCCCTTTTCTACATAACACACTCATCGCTGTGTTATAAAATGCTTGTGATTTAACCAGTTATATTCTGGACAAATTAGGTTTAGTGAATCTAACTGGGTATATTCTTCAAAAATAGGACTTACATAAAACTCTTTAGACTTAACCAGTTATATTTTGGGCAACTTATGCTCAGTGAATGTAACTGGTTATGTACTTCAAAAATAAAACTTACATAAAATGTTTGTGGCTTAACTAGTTATATTTTGGGCAAGTTAGGGTTAATTAATAATAAAACACTATCACCTGAACACTAAAACACTTACTGGTAACTACCCTCTATTGATCAGTTTTATAATAAAACACTATCGACTGAACACTAAAACACTTACTGGCACCTACCCTCTACCAATCATTTGTTTAATAACTATTTGCTTAACTAGTTATATTCTGGAACAAGTCAGGCTACAGTTTTTGCCACTTCAGTATAGATATATTGGATAAATAAGGCATTCTTACTGGTATAAAAAATAATGACTTGAACAGTAAGCACTTGACTCCACAATGTACTTCTACAAAACTAGTAGCTAACCAATATGGAAGAAATCAGTCCAGACTTACTTGTGAACGATGGCTTTCTCTGGTACACTGAGATCAGACATGTCTAGGGATGCAGTTCTTATATGGGAATGAGTAGGAGAACTGTCCAAACTGCTGGGGGAGGGTAACGTGTTCAGTACCCTGAGGAAGAAGAATGTTAAAAATACCATGAAAATACTATTACTGAAATTTTTGCACCTTTACAAATAGTGCATGCAATGATGGGGAACAGAGGGGAATGCTGTTCCTTGTGAAATTCTTTATAAATATATACATATACTGGTAGCTATCCTCTACCAATCATTTGCTTAATACAAAACTATTGACTTAACACTAAAACACTTACTGGTAACTACCCTCTATTGATCACTTGTATAATAAAACACTATCGACTCAACACTAAAACACTTACTGGTAACTACCCCTACCAATCATTTGTTTAATAAAACACTATTGACTCAACACTAAAACACTTACTTGATAACTACCCTCTATTGATCACTTGTATAATAAAACACTATCACCTGAACACTAAAACACTTATTGGTAACTACCCTCTATTGATCACTTGTATAATAAAACACTATCACCTGAACACTAAAACACTTATTGGTAACTACCCTCTATTGATCACTTTTATAATAAAACACTATCACCTG